GCGGGGAAGAGGGTGGTGCTGGCCTCTTTTCACTGGTGGCCACCGACAGAACTAGAGGTAATGGCCACAAACTGAAGCACCAAAAGTTCCACAGGAACTTAAGGAAATTTTTTTTAACAGTGAGGGTGACAAAGCGCTGGAACAGGCTGCCCAGAGAGGTTGTGGAGTCTCCTTCTCTGCAGATCTTCAAAACCCGCTTGGATGCAGTCCTGTGCCACATGCTCTAGGTGACCTGCGTGTGCAGGGGGGTTGGACAAGATGACCTCTAGAGGTCCCTTCCAACCTTAAGCATTCTATGATTCTATGATTCTTAAAGAGTGGAATCAAAGGAGTAATTTGCAGGCTCTGGTCCTGCAGCCTGATTGCATGGGCAGGTTTTAGAGCAATCTGACATAGCAAGGCCACGTGCTCCCCACAGCTGGCATTTCAGTGCCTTCGTGGCTAGTGGATAAGCTGAGCTTCACCCGCGGGGCTGCAGAGCTTCCCATTCCACTGGGGATTTAGCATGGGCAGCCAAGTAGGTGATAGGCAGCAGTAGCTCACTAATGAGAAACGATCCGAGCCTGGCATTCATTTCGGGACATGAGAGACTTTCCAGGCAGGGTGTTGAGGAGCTGTCTGCCTACTGATGCTTTCATGCTCTTACAAGTCAATCTAATGTATATGGGAGCATTACTAACTCTTAATTTGAAAGACAGCCAAATATCTTTGCTGGTACTGTTAAGTACAGGTGACAGGTAAGTTACTGGATCTTCATTTGCTTTTCTGCAGTCCTGCAATGAGGTTTTTGGCCTATTGCACTGAGGGAGGACCCCTTTCTCTGTAGATTTTCTACCCTGCAGAGTGAAAGAGAGCAGCTCAAACCACCTGCACGTTAGTGAGGGTGACAGCTTTGAAGCTTCTGTCACTATGTAAAAGACTGAATCAAAATGGGGAAGAGGTTGCAGTCCTTTCTTGTGGTTTTGATTGGTTAGTTTAAAAAAAAAAAGTTATTTTTAGATGCATCTGGGAGGGTTGAGTTTAATGACATTTCACCACTATTACAAGGTGCTCATTAGAAAGACAATAATTTTGAAGACAGTCTGCCTGCTAACACAAATTACATGGCTTTGTTGCACCTAAAGCTGTGAATGCTTCCATCAGCTGAACCTGTCATCCTGTACAAAAAAGATGTGTGCTGTTTTAGACAGTTTTCCACACATCCTTAGGGAGAAAGAGCTTACCAGTCCGCCTGTGCTCAGTTTGAGGGGAACACATTGAGGACACACAGTGTTAACAAATAGTAAAAGTTCAGATGTAGGATTGTGGTGAGAAACGAGTTTCTTCAGTGCTTGTCATTCTAATTGTGCTATAGTTAACTTCTTCAGATTACTGATACAGATCTATTGGAATTTTTTATCCCACTTAATCCAGTCTTGTGGTTTTATTCTAGGAGACTAAAAAAAGTGTTCAAATGACTGTTCCCTACCTGCCATTTCATGTTAACCTGGCAGCATCATCCCTGCTTCTCTCAGTCCTTGTTACCATCTGTTTTTGAAAGGAAACCTCAAACACCGAAAGTGTTTTCCTTAGCATTGTTTACACAACACCCTACTACAGGCTGCAGTGAGCCTCAGGATTCATTTTCCTCACTGGTCTTCATCATTCCTTTATTTATTCCTCCACATCGTCATCACAGACATGCACAAGAAAAATAATCTGGTCTTTAAGATGTTTTATTTATTTAAGACGGCCAAGTCATTAAAACCCAAAAGTCATTTTGTGCCCTAGTGGCTGGAGCTAACTTTTAGTCATGCGTATAAACATATATGTATGTATGATGCATATACATACAAAGCATATATATATACATATACACGTGAATTCCGAATCTTAATTCTGAGTCAAAATTCTGTGGTTAACTGTGAGTTGGTTGGTTTTCCCTTATTTATAAGCCTTACATTCAGATAACTTAAGTTTGCTGGTAGCTTTCATTGTGTTCATGGCTTCTGTGCTGCCTGTAGTTACACAGTTACTTTCAAAAATTTTAGTCCTGCAACAGAGAGTAAGAAAGACTTGCATGGGAAGGAAAGGGACACAAACACCGTGTAGCATGTTCTTGCTGCTGGCAGCAATGGCAGAGTTTTTCCCTGAATGCTTTGTAATGAAATTCTGAGGATCCACCTTCGCAGGCCTCTGTGAATAAAAAGGCTGTGTTAGAATTTTGTCTTTCAGTGCATAAATCATGAAAGAAATGGCATTTTCAGGCTAGTCATAACACAGAAGGCTTCTACCTCCAGTTCGCTATGAATTAATAGACTGATATAACAAGTTCGTTTTTAAAAAGCAATTTTGGAGTCCTCAAAATATTTGTTGTTTTAAGTGTCTTGGCTGTAAATTAATTTCAGATCTCAGCTGTTCTGTCTGAACAGTCAAATATGATATGTTAGACGTGTAGGAAGTTCTCATTTTTGCAAATAATGATTTTCAGCAACTCAAAATTCAGATAGCAGTTAGTACAAGTAAGAGCTGGCTTTGCATCAGGCCTTCTAATAGATTTAACACAGATTTCTGTCTGAGTACATCTCGATTCCTCTGCTGATTAAAATGTGTAAAAGCTTCAAGTGGTAGTCGAATGTTATCTTTGTCTAATGTACAGGTGCTGTCATAAGGCTTCATAGTATCTGAATAGAAAAAGACAAGGATAAATAGTGAAGACAGAAGCAGTACTGAGGTTGAGAGTAGGCTACCAAAGCTCTCACTTCAGTGGCTGAATTAAATAAACCTGAAATACATAAATTATTCTGCCAGCAGAGAAACAAGTGCACTTGATGTCTTAATTATATTTATAATACTGCAGAATTCAGTATTTTGTGTGTGTCTGTGTGAGGAGGCAACATGCATGTATAGTCCTATGTATATTTACCTTAGTAATTTCCTTCTTTTTGACACAAATAGAACACTCATCTAATTTTTTCCTCACCGTATGGGTAAAAGAACTTGGAGAAAAAAAAAGTAGGAATTGATTAGGGATTTTTTTTTTTACCTTACTTGCTATTGTGCAGCACACATTCAGAACACATAAACCTATACTTTCCAGTCCCAAAGGGATACAGATCTTTTCTCTATTAAAATCTGATTTACAACACAGGAATCACATAATGCTTTGTCTGATTTGACTTACCTGGCTGCTTACTGATAATAGCTCCCATGCTTAATAAATAGATAAAGAAAAATCCAATAATGCCCAGTATTCTTCATTAGGTTGTTGGCAGTGCTTTCATGGAAAGTGAATAAGAATGAAGGTAGACATCAGTTGTATTTTTCTTCATAGAAGAAGTTGGAAGGTAATTGTAGACTAAGAACTTCCTTTTCTAGGAAATTACTATAGAAAATATTCTTGCCAGCTGACTTACTCTTTATCCCTATGACCTTTCATATACTGTATCTCATACCTCTGCTGAAAATACCTGTGTATCCCCCTGCACACACAGGGTCACCTAGAGCACATGGCACAGGACTGCGTCCAAGTGGGTTTTGAAGATCTCCAGAGAAGGAGACTCCACAACCTCTCTGGGCAGCCTGTTCCAGTGCTCTGTCACCCTCACTGTTATGAAATTTTTCCTTAAGTTCATGTGGAACTTTTGATGCTTCAGATTGTAGCCATTACCTCTAGTTCTGTCAGTGGCCACCACTGAGGAGAGGCCAGCACCACCCACCTCACTGCCTCCCTTGAGGTACTTATAGACACTGATCAGGTCTCCTCTCAGCCTTCTCTTCTGCAGTCTCAACAGGCTCAGCTCTCTTATAGTCTTTCCTCATAGGGCAGATGTTCCAGGCTCTTGATCATCCTCATATCCCTGCGCTGGACTCTCTCCAGCAGCTCCACATCCCTCTTGTGCTGTGGAGCCCAGAACTGGACACAATACTCCAGATGTGGCCTCACCAGGGCTGAGTAGAGGGGCAGGATCACCTCTCTCGACCTGCTGGAGGCACTCTTCTTAACGCACCCCAGGATCCCATTGGCCTTCTTGGCCGCGAGGGCACACTGCTGCCTTATGGTCAACTTGTCATCCACCACGACACCCAGGTCCCTCTCTGCAGAGCTGCTCTCCAGAAGGTCAGTCCCCAGCCTGTACTGGTGTCTGGGGTTATTTCTCCCCAGGTGCAGGACCTTGCACTTGCTCTTGTTGAATTTCATGAAGTTTCTCACT